CCTCGGAAGTTCTTTGAACTTCTTTTCTGAAGTTCTCTGAACTTCATCTCAAAAGTTTTCTAAACTTCTCTTTGGTAATCCTCTGGACTTCTTGCCGAAAGTTTTATGAACTTCTCCTCGGAAGTTCTCTGAACTTCTTTTCTGAAGGTCTCTGAACTTCTTTTCTGAAGTTCTCTGAACTTCTTCTCCGAAGTTCTCTGAACTTCATCTCAGAAGTTTTCTAAACTCCTCTTTGGTAGTCCTCTGGACTTCTTGCCGGTAGTTCTGTTAATTTCTCTTAGGAAGTTTTGTGAACTTCTCCTCGGAAGCTTTGTGAACTTATCCTCGGAACTTCTCTGAAGTTCTCTGAATTTCTTTTCTGAACTTCTCTGAACTTCTTCTCGGAAGTTCTCTGAACTTCATCTTGGAAGTTTTCTGAACTTCTCTCTGGACTTCTTGCCGGAAGTTCTGTTAATTTCTCTTCGAAAGTTTTGTAAACTTATCCTTGGAAGTTCCCTGAATTTCTTCTCTGAAGTTCTTTGAACTTTTTTTTCTGAAGTTCTCTGAACTTCATCTCAGCAGTTTTCTGAACTTCTCTTTGATAGTCCTCTGGATTTCTTGCCGAAGTTCTGTTAATTTCTCCTCGGAAGTTTTGTGAACTTCTCCTTTGAAGTTCCCTGAACTTCTTCTCTGATGCTCTCTGAACTTTTCTTCCGAAGTTTTCTGAACTTCTTTTCGGAAGCTATCTGAACTTCATCTTGGAAGTTCTCTGAACTCCTTTTCTGAAGTTCTCTGAACTTCTTCTCAGAAGTTCTCTGAACTTCATCTTGGAAGTTTTCTGAACTTCTCTTTGGAAGTCCTCTGGACTTCTTGCCGGAAGTTTTGTTAATTTATCTTCGGAAGTTTTGTGAGCTTCTCCTCGGAAGTTCTCTGAACTTCTTTTATGAAGTTCTCCGAACTTCTTTTCTGAAGTTCTCTGAACTTCTTCTCGGAAGCTCTCTGAACTTTATCTTGGAAGCTTTCTGGACTTCTTGCCGGAAGTTCTGTTAATTTTTCCTCGGAAGTTTTGTGAACTCATCCTCGGAAGTTCTTTGAACTTCTTTTCTGAAGTTTTTTGAACTTCTTTTCTGAAGTTCTCTAAACTTCTTTTCTGAAGTTCTCTAAACTTCTTTTCTGAAGTTCTCTAAACTTCTTTTCTGAAGTTCCCTGAACTTTTTTCTGAAGTTCTCTGAACTTCTTTTCTGAAGTTCTCTGAACTTCTTTTCTGAAGTTCTCTGAACTTCATCTCGGAAGTTCTCTGAACTTCATCTCGGAAGTTTTCTGAACTTCTGTTTGGAAGTCCTCTGAACTTCTTGCCGGAAGTTCCGTTAATTTATCTTCGGAAGTTTTGTGAACTTCTCCTCGGAATTTGTTTAAACTTCTCCTCGGAAGTTCCCTTAGCTTCTTCTCAGAAGTTCTCTGAACTTCATCTCGGAAGTTCTCTGAACTTCTTTCCTGAAGTTCTATGTACTTTTTCTCCGAAGTTCTCTGAACTTCATCTTGGAAGTTCTCTGAACTTCTCCACAGAAATTCTTTTATGAAGTTCTTTGAAATTCTTTTCTGAAGTTCTCTGAACTTCTTTTCTGAAGTTCTCTGAACGGCTTCTCGGAAGTGCTCTGAACTTCTCGTCGGACGTACTATGAACATCTTCAGAATATCTGAACGTCTTTTCGGAAGTTCTCTAAACTTCTAGTCGGATGCTCTTGTGAACTTCTCGTCGGACCTTCAGACTTAAATAACTTCTCGTAATATATCTTCGGAAAATCTCTGAATTACTCGTCGGAAGTTCTTTAACCTGCTCTAAAAGATCTCTAAACTTCTCGTAAGAAGTTCTCTGAACCACTCGTCGGAAATTCCCTTAAATTATATTCGGACGTTCTCTGAACTTTTCTTCATACTTCAGGGAACTTTGATTGTGAACTTCAGGAAAGTTCTGTGAACCTTACGGGGTTTTATTTTTAAGTACTCTAAACTTAAGGGCAGATCTGTAAAATTTTCTAAGGACGTTCTGTGAACATTTTGTTCCGTAAATTACTCGTGCACTTTTCGTTGAACTGTGACCTTTTGTGAACTTCCCTTTAAGTTCAGAGAATTTCGCCTGAAGTTCAGAGAACTTCCTTTTAAGATCTGAGAAGTTATCAGATCATTCAGAAATTGCATAGGAACTCTTTAAAACTCCTTCGGAGTAGTTCTTCAAGGAACTATTTTAAACTCTAAAGAAGTTAAGCGTACTTCAAAGTTGTTTTGTGTACTTCAGAGAAATTATTCGAACGTCCAAAATTTCTGAGAACATATCCGAATTTTTGCAAACTTCATTTTTAAAGAAGTGATCTTCAAATATCATGTCTAAGGTTGAAGTGACTGACATGTTGATTCACCAGGACAGTGAGACACCTCACATCTCACACCACACAGAATAGGGCAGAAATCAAAATCTCTGCACTATGTATAGCCTCTCTGAAGTTTACAGGAAATTGGTAAAAGTATTTGAAAGTTTGTAAATCCACTCTGAAGCAGGACAGACTTCATCAGAACGCATTGGACGTTTCTTAGGGCAGCAGAGCTTAGCTGAAATTTGCAGAACTTCTATGAAGTTATCTGAACTTCTATGATGTATGCAGAACAGATTTGAGATGCTTAGTGTAATTTAGAGAACTCTACTGAAGCTATTTGAAGTTTGTCGAGCTCATCTGAGTTTCAAATTTGTCTGCTCATTGCAGATTGGTGAATAATGAGAAGCTAGAGAATATGACGGACTTGATAGGAAATAGATTGAACGATTGAACTTTTAAAGGAAGTAGGTTTTCCTACTCGGTATTCAGCGAAAATTTAGTGTATAGTTGGGGAAGCTTGGAAAGTACAAGGGTGAATGTGACGATGGTACGAGAAAATACGATGCACCGTTGGTTGGAGCTTGGAGACGGTGGGGAGTCGTTGGGTGATATCGGACTTGTTAGTGTTTGACTTACGGGTGAGGACTTGTTGGTGACTTAAGGGTGAGAGTTATGGGCTGGTTGGCAAATGGCTGGAACTAGTTGAACAGTACGCAAGAGAAGCGCCACCTGACAATGCAAGCCTGTTAGATCAAGTGGTCTCACCTGTCCCGCTACAGCCGGTGAAACTTTTCGCTACCTGACAATTTTCCTACTGGTCTACTGGGTTTTGTGCGTTGTCCGTTTTCTAGTGTTAAGTGCTCAGTGTGTGCAATCTCTGGTTGAAGACGGTGTCAAATCTCTTATTTACTCTTCAACGAAACGCAGCGATTTGCCGACCAGTCCAAAATACTTACCCCCTCAAGTCCACGGAAAAATACTAACAAGTCCGATATCACATTCGGGATTCCTCGTATTATGCTGACGATGAGCAGCGTGATCCTTGGTCAATCCGCAGTACTGCATCTTTGAAATAATCTTCTTACACGACGTTAAAATGGCCCTTATTATCGATGCCATTTGATTTACACGGCAATCACTTCACCGTGCGTGACAACTGGTCACTTCACTTCATTTTCACCGTGAAGCAACACTCGTAATAAGGGCCAATATCCAGCTGCCTAAGAGATTGCTTGTCACATACTTCATCCAGCAACCTAAAACACGTCGGCATGATCAAAGTTAATGACGCCTGCCGGATCGTCACTAATCACTCCATAGTTTTATGTTTTCTGAAAGGCATTGGGTATCTTTTATTCAAATTGAACTGTCTTCGCTGAACAAAATAGAAGTAGACTTCTTCCAACATCGGCAGCTGAATTCACTCACACCTTGACATTCTCTACTATGCGAGAGGGAATGGCTGCGTGCTTCTTAATTTGTATCCTCTTTTGGTGCTTACCGAATGGGGTATTCCAAGTTAATCTAGATTAGAGTTCTCCTCTGAAATACCGTGGCATCCCCATGTTCACAATGGTCCATTTTTCTATACTCCTTGCTTGACGTGCAGACTAGCGGGGTTCAAACGATCAAATTAAAAACTGTCAGATTACCGGGGGTCTAAACATCCTCCAAAAGACCTTCGATCCTCATCGAGTAGTCTCATAAAGGTTCGCTGGATTTTCTCATATCTTCGCTGTAGAGTCATCATTTCAAAAGCTAGAAATTTCTTCAAGCTTTTCCTTCTCCGACAAGTGCTCTGTTGGTTTTGTAGTCTTTTGAACTGCGATCGCTTTCGAGCTTTTTTGGGTGTTTCCGAACTTTGAAGTTCAGCAAATTTCTACTGGAAGAATTCCCAAACTCTTCTGTTGAGTACCATTTGAGTTTTCCTTGGAAAGCCTCGGAATCTCCAGTTTGTTGGATATATTTTCAATCTCCACTGAATAATCGATGACTTTGGCAAGAAACCTCTTGAAGGATCGCTTGAAGTCGTCATAACACCCCTATTCTGTATTTCGTTTCGAACGAAATTCTCATACAAAAAAATATTTTTTTGTATGAGAATTTCGTTCGAAACGAAATACAGAATAGGGGTGATTATCTCTGAAAATCCTTTTATCTTCTTTAGAAATCCACCCCTGGATGCTCTCCAGATTTACCCTGGAAAATCAATGAACAAGTTCCAGAACTCTACTGTCTGAAAGTTCTCCAAACACCTTCGGTTTCCTACACGACCAATGAGAACGCCCAAATTTGAGTTTAGTTTCCTCATACATCATTTAAAGTGCAGAAACTCAGCGATGAATAAATTTAACTCATGTTTTTCCAGGTTTGTCCAGGAAAAAAATCCCGAATATGAGAAAAGTAAAGATTGGATTCACTCAGTCTGTTGGTACTACTCCGAGACTAAGTGAAAATTTCATCAATTTTCTTCATTTTCCGGCAGATTTTTGAGATTTTCCACAGGAAAACATGAGGCAAATTTACTCATCGCTGAGTTCCTGCACTTTCGGCGATTATGAGTAAACTTAACTCAATTTGGGGTCGTTATCATTGCCGTGTAGTGCATTGAAAAACTCCCTCTTACTTCAGTGGTGATCTTTTAAATCATTTCCCGGTTGGCAACTTTCTATTCCAACCAACGCATGCATTTGTTGTGTGGCAAAAAATGCCCAAATCTAAAGATTTTCTAGACCGAACCGGAAATCGAACCCGCCGTTTCCGGTTCGTCAGTACCGTGCCTTAACTTACCAGGCTACTTGAGGCCCCCAACAAGTCCTCCTAACTTCCCTGAATCCTTGTCAAGACAAGTCCCATTCCCACTCATTTTGTCCGACACTGCGCACCCATGTCTTCTTCTTCTCCTCCTCCTCCTCCGGGAAAGGAATGAAATCTTATCGTCATCGCCGCCGCCGCCGCTGCTGCCGCCGTCACCCCCAACCGCTTACCTCACCATGTGGATCCGCTTGGCGTGCATCACCAGGTAGCGCTTCTGCTTGGTGCTGAATCCGCACAGCGGACACTGGTACGGCAGGGTTTCCACGTGCGTCAGTTTGTGCTTCTGCAGGCACTCCGGATTGTTGAACTTCTTGTCGCACTGGTTGCACGGGAAGTTCCGCTCGTTCATGTGGACCAGCTGATGACTAGTGAGGTGGTTCCGGTAGCGGAACTTTTTGTCGCAGAACGTGCAGGAAAACTTGACGGCCGCATCGTCGTGGATGCGCTGGTGGTTGTACAGGGCGACGTTGGTTTTGAACCGCTTCGAGCACGTCTCGCAGGTGAAGTTCCGATCGCGCGAGTGCACCCCCGCCACGTGGTTGTTCAACAGTCTTTGGTTTCCGAATTTTTTACTACAGTACGTACAGGAGAAATTTTTGATGTTCAAGTGAACCTGGTTAATGTGATACGAGTACGCGCTTCGATTGGCTAGGGTCTTTTCGCAAATGTAACAGTACAGCTTCCGGACGTCACCCGGTTTCGTGTCGGCGGCAGCTGGAACCGTGGCCGCTTCAGCCGGATCAGCCAGCGGATCAGGAGGAGATTTTGCATCGTTCTCTTTGTTGGCCAGTTCGATTCCTTCGCCGGACTTACCTTCCATCGTCTGTTGGCTGCCTTCGCCTTCCTCCAGATCGACACCGGACGTTTGCTGTTCGTGGTCGTCTTCGTCCTCCGGCTGGGACTCGTTTGGGCCTGTTTGGCTGAACATGCTCAGGGCGTGCATGGTCATGTGTTGGATCAGGATGTTCCGATCCAGATAGTTGTCGCACTGCTCGCAGTGGAATATCTGCTCCGAGTGCTGGTCTTTCAGGTGATCCACCAGCGCGGTTTTGCTGGCGAAGGTGTTCGCCTTGATGGTGCCGTTCGACTTGCAGAAGTTGCACGTGAAAGCCTTGGAGCTCCGGGTGAAGCGTTTGCTGGAACGAAAGGGAAAGGGGCATTTCTTTTAGGAGCTCTGTGTTAACATTCTGATTGCGCGGAATCAGTGAACAATTATTTTAAGAAAAAAAAATACGAAGCGAACTTCTCGAACATTTCCCTTAATGCGACCCATCAAGCAACGCACAACGGGCAGTATTTTGGCGATTTTATCCCACCAATTTTATATCTGAACTGTCGTTTTGATGACTGTAACTTTGACCTTCAGTTTCCTCTTAGTAATTGTCCAGTAGTTGTCAATGGGCCTGAACTGGGGACAATTGGGCGGATTGAGGTTTTTCGGAACAAACTGGACTCCGTTGTCATTGTACCATTGTTGTACTTCCCGGCTGTAGTAACAACTCGCAAATCCGGCCAAAACGTCACCGGACCATCATGTGATTGGATGAAGGGCAAAATTTGCTTCTGGAGGTATTCGGTTTTGTAAACCTCCGAGTTCATCATTTTCTCAGTGGTGAAAACCTTTGTCTTCTCCTGGTCCTGGAAGCTGTCCGAAGTCGGCCTTTACATAGGTTTCTTCATCCATAAGTAAGCACCCACCGGACTTGGTCAGCAAGTTGTCATACAGCTTTCGAGCACGGGTTCTATCTACGGTATTCTGCTTGAGTGATCGATTTGGTTGACTACTGGCCTGTAAGCCTTCGCGTTAGCAAATTTGCTGCACTGTACCACCGGTTGGAAACTAACGATTTAAAATTGGCTCACTACTAGACTAGCCTATTGGTCCCAAGCAATTCGATTAACGTACCCCATTCTAGTCGAAATTCTAATACTACAGAATGTTTGTTTTGAATTGCTATGAAAGTTTGACAGATGAAATGAGGGGTTCGTGGATCTTCTTATGTTTCGAGGGGTGCATCGATTAGCTTGGGACTGAAGATAGTACAGCTACCTCTATGACTTACAGTACAGTCGAACGGCATCATACTTTTTACTCAAATTGCGATCGGACATACCTGGGTTGCTTCTGCTGGACCTCACGACCTTTCCATGCAGCTGACAGTTGGCAGGTCCACCATAAACTTTCATAGCGATTCAAAACAAACATAGTGTAGTACTAGAATTTCGACTAGAATGGGGTACGTTAATCGATGTGCTTGGGACCGATAGGCTAGTCCAGTGTAAGCCAATTGAAAATCGTTAGTTTTCACCGGCTGGTTCCACTCCGATGTTTACTTTGGGGCTTTCGATTCGTCGTCAAGGTTTCCCTGTACATTTTGAGCACGCGCCATACGGTGTTTCTAGGAAAAATCAACACTTTAGCCAGCTTTAATGCGGACCGCGATGGATTTTACCGGTGACTGTGCACGATTTTTTCTACCCTCAAGGTGACTGTCTCCAAAAGTTGTTCCAATCGAACCGTCAAAATGCACTGCTTTGCTCGATTGGAACAACTTTTTTCAGTTTTGTGTTGAGAGTCGTCCATACTTTTACTAGAGTGCTCGACAGTTCGAAACAAACCGTCATCGCCCGGATATACGGTTTTGATGCGACCCAACTTCCAGTTGAGTGGGGATTGGTTTCGGTCGTGGAGCAGAATAATCGGCGTAGTTCGTAGATTCATCTTCCCGGGTTGCAGGGTGTTCAGGTAGTCGCAGCTCAAAGCGCGCCAGATAGACGCGTTGTCTTGACGCCTCTTCCAAAGATGTCGCGGGTATGGCAGTGATATGGCGTCCGACTAGATAGTGGGCTGTCGTGATCACCAGCGGGTCTGCTGTTGGAGATGGTGAATAGTGGTCGAGAATTGAGCACCACTTCGATTTCAACCAGAACGGTGGGTAGCTCCTCGAACGTGAGCTTTACATTGCCGACGATACGCTTCAGATGGCTCTTGGCGGACTTGACTGCAGCCTCCCAAAGGCAACCGAATTCGGGTGCATCCGGTGGGATAAAGTGCCACCCGATCTCACGGTTGCGGCAGAATTTTTCGATGGTGTCAACGGCTTGCTGATCTCGGAAATGTTGACACCTCGGCAGTTGGAAGTTCCTCGTCGTTCAAGGAATCGCTTCAGGTACGCCAGGAAGGCATCGGTGCTTAAGTCGGATACCGCTGCTAAATAAACGGCTTTGGTGGTCATACAAACAAAGGCGGTCACATAGGATTTCACCAGGGCAGGATGGCGCACACCTAACCTAATCAGGAAAGGCCCGACGTAGTCCACTCCGGTCACGGCAAATGGGGGCGCCCGTACCACTCTCGATGCTGGCAGATTTTCCATCAGCTATTGGTAGGCTTAATTCGGAAGCATCTCACACACTTACGTGTAATCTGTCGGATGGTGGAGCGAGCGTTCAGAAGCCAATATCGTTGTCTCATGGCGTTCATCAAACCAGAGGGCCTCACGTGAAGATGTTCTACGTGCATTTGCCGAACCAATAGGCGTACCACCGGATCCTTGTCTCGTAAGATGTGGGATGACGGCTCTTGAACGGTAGTTCTGAGCGATCGAGTCGACTTTGGCAACAACTCGTTGAATCCCGTCCGCCGAATGAACGAGTTGACCTACGCAGTTCCGGGATCGCCAGGTGTTGGCTTGTCTTCCGCTCGGCAGGGTTCTTCATTCGGCAGTTACCAACGAATCGCAAGACGTAGCCCATAAGGCGTTGGATTTTGCGGAAGCTGTTGTATCTGGACAGCGACGGTGACGATGACTGGTTTCAACAATGGATCTGGAACTTCTCCGGGTGGATCTGTGTCGTATTTCACACTCTGGAGGAACACAGGGCCATTCCACCAAAGGCTGTTATTCTCCAAGGCTCCAGCTTGGAGACCACCAGAGACTCCCACCGGTATCCACCGGTGGACGAATAATTGGAGTTGGTTGAGCGGTTTCACACCAAAGTACAATTTCCCGGAACTCCATATCCAGGCCGGTTAAAACCTTCAAAACTAGCCGGGTCAGCAGGAGAGCGGTGCAAAGCTCTTTTCGTGGGATGGAAAGATCGTGAAGAGGGACCAACTTGGATTTGCTGGGAAGTTGAACAGGCTTCGTAGGTAGATGCAGGCCCTGTACGCCACTGTTAAGGCAATTCTTGAAATGTCACACATCTTGGGTTGTGCAAATGCTACAACGAATCTTGAAGTTCTTGCTATCGGCGGAAGTGGGAACTATCGGACTGGTACTCATACTTGATAACACCTTTCGTCTTCAGGTCCTTGGAGTAGTGAAATTTTGTTGAAATGTGTTTGGTACGGTTACTGAACTTTTCGGAGTCCAGCATCTTCAAACAGCTTTGGTTGTTTTCGAATAATATTGCTTCTGTTTTCTCCCCTGCAGCCAAACCGCTTCTTGGGATGCTTCGGAAAGAGTCACGAATTCCGCCTCTGCTGTAGATAGTGAATCGCAGGATTGCTTTCGGCATGCCCATGCAATGGTTCCTCCGCAGTATTTGAATACATATCCACTATTGGACTTCCTGTCGTCGTGACATTCTGCCCAATCGGCATCAGCGTAACCCACCAGACCAGATGAATCACCACTGCTACTCAGTCGAAGCTTCAGATCAATCGTCCCCTTCAGGTAGCGAACCATTCGCTTCAACTCGTTCCAGTCACGTTGGGTTGGGTAACTCATCTTACGACACAAGATTGAGATTGCCGTTGCGATGTCAGGTCTGCTGTTGACTGCGATGTACAACAGCTGCCCAACTACCTTTTGATATTCTTGATTATTTGGGATTCCGTCTTGATGTACCCAGGATCAATTGGCACGGTTGACACTTTCGCATCCTGTAGGCCAACAGAACAGATGACGTCTTCAATGTATTTCCGCTGGTTGATAAGAAAATCTCCAGCATGGTCTCGATCGACTTCGATCCCGAGGTAAAACTTGACATCACCGAGGCAGCTGATCTGGAAATTTCTTGCAAGCGTTCGCTTCAATGCGTCGATCATGCGTTCATCATCGCTCGCTACGATGAGATCATCCACATACACGAGAACATAGCACCACTTGCTACCAGTTCGCTTTCTGTACAGGCAGGGATCTGCGTCACATCGCTCAAAACCATCCGCTTCCATCACCTCATGCAGTCGCTCGTTCTAAGAACGAACCGCTTGCTTAAGCCCGTACAAACTTTTCTTTAAATGGCATACCTTGTTTTCCATACCACTGACGACATACCCGGGAGGCTGCTTCATGTAGATCTCCTCCTCAAGGTTGCCGTTGAGGAACGCCGTTTTTACGTCGAATTGCTTGACGATCATCTTCTTCTTGGTTGCCACAGACATCATGGTGCGGAACGTAACGTGTCGAACGACTGGCGCAAAATCTTCATCGTAGTCCGTCCTAATGTACCGAACTACATTGCCATTTTCGTCTCGCTTCTGTTTATACACCCACTTGCATCCAATGGCGCGGCTACCCGCCAGCAGCTCGACTATATCCCAGACGTCGTTTTCTTCGATGGATGCTAGCTCTTCCTTCATGGCCGTGCACCACTTGGCGCTGTTGGGACTGGATAACGCTTGCTTCAACGATGTTGGCTCCTCCTGAACCGAAGTTTCTGCTGTACAAGCATACCGCTCTGCAATAGCTCCGAGATTAGCTCTTGTTGATCTTCGAGGTAGATCGACATCTACACTGGACATGCTCCCGTCCACACGAACGGCATCGGACTGCACTTCGATTTCACGGAGAGTTGCTTCGTCCGGTTGTTCATCTGGATCATCCCAGACATCGTCGTCATCCGATTCAGTTGATCCTGGCTCACTCATTAGGGCCACTCGTTCGAAACAGATGGAAGGTACAACCAGACTTTCTCCCACCGAACATGGCATGGGCCCGCAAGAAGTAAGGCGGTATGCCTTCGATACTTCACTGTATCCGACGAACCTGAGCTTGACAGCCTTCCGATCCAGCTTACCTCGCTTTTCATTTGGTACACTAAACCGCTGAATGTGTCCGAGATTGGGCTTCTTCCCGAACCACCGCTCATATGGTGTGCCACTGATCGACCGTGATGGCAGCCTGTTCTG